GAATGCAAATGCTCGTCGAACCTTTATTTTGGAATTGTGACATTAGCACCTAATGGTGTCCAATACGCGGGTGATTCCTAAGTGACAAGGAGGTGGTCGAGATTTGTTGGCCACCTGATCGATCGGGTTTGAAGTCGACAACCATATTCTCCAATAATTTTAAAATGCATGCCAAATTATAAGAGAATGTGAAGTTACTATACTATTGCCTATAGGTTAGCACGACTTTAAAATACCATTGCTATTTTATTTATTCAATTGGGGATCATTATTATGTGATGCGACATTATATGATATGATCAATAATATGAGTTTCATATCTACTAAGGGTCTATTTGGTACGGCTCAAAATCCAATTAAAAATTGAAAATATAGCCGCTATTCGGTCTCACTCATCTAATAAAAGTCAACAATAACGACTAGTTTTTCAATTTTAATCTCTACCAAACACCCTCTAAAATTCCTAGTTTCTTTCAGAAGTCAATTTGCAAGTTGAGAGATTCAAATACATAAATTGCACACACTATGACACAATGCATAATTGTAATCCAAACATAGAAACAAAAACTGTAATCCTAATTCATTTAACACTAACAAAAATCCAGATTTAGGTATTAGAATTCAAACACCATTCATAAATTTGTTATGTAACATGGAAACCACACAACTCAGCCTACATTTTCCATAGTCGGTCCCAAGTCTGAGTAAAGAAACTTTGTCGAATCAAATGGAGTAATATCATTTGCAATCGCTCACTATTGTAGTCACCCTACGTAGAATATATGTGCCGGTTAGTAATTTGATGCATTAATATGGTATTTTTTTATTGCATCATGCATCAAATCACTAATTGTCATATGTATGTCACGTGGGGCGACCACGGTAGTCAGCGACTGCAAGTAACATCATTCAATCAAATAACATGGTTGTATCTATAGAAACAAAAAAACTAAAGGGATTGGCTACGAAAGACTCATGTACCTGACCAGGGCCATGATATGTAACTTCTCCACCACGTTCAGTTCGATATACATCCAAAGGAGCTTTCTCTACATCAAACTTCAAGTACTCTTCTGAACTACCAGAGCCCAACGTATAAACAGGCTGGTGTTGCAGAAGAATAAGAGAATCCGCAAAATCTTCATTCTTTTCACTTAATGCTTTTCTCTCTTTAACAATTGAATTTTGCCAAGACCATGCCTCTACATACGAAACCAGCTCTTTGTGCAAATCGTAGCAATCACACCTTTATTAAGCATAAAAATGAAATGTATATATAAAAGAAATGTGTCATTCAAAGTATGATAAATATTATAAAGCCAGTGGATGATTAAATTACCTTCTTTTGTGTACATGGGTCATTGAGATTGTTGAATTGATGAAACGAGAGCAAAATCTGTGCGAAATATTTTGTGGGTTTTGAGGTAAGCATTTTGGAGTTGGGTTAAAATTGGGATTCAGCAAGAAAGCCATAATTCAAATTGTAGCTTTATATTTAGGACAAGTGATTTGGAAGAGGAGCGACGGCAGCGGTGGAAGATTTTAGTTTGGGCAGGTAGAGTGAAAACTGGAAAGTGTACAAGGTGTATTTTGACTATTGGGATGGAGAAGCTACCAAAGCTAGAAAATGGGCATCTTCAATTCTTAAATCAGCTTAGTTTAAAGTTTCGAATAATAATACTACTCGTACTTAAATAGTTATATAATAATTTGCATATAAATAAAGTGTCGAAAATAGATTGAAAAAGTTTTTCTTTTTTTAATAATTTGGTCGAAAAATTCTCTATATATTAGCAAGGTCCACCAAAATCAATCATTTGATTGTGGTTTGGTCAAGTTGGGAATTCATGTTCTTGGTTACCTTTTATAATGTTTAGTCAATAATCAAAGTGGTAATAGGT